TTAGACTACGTAGTTTCTTTATTATGATCTAAGCATTGATAATAATTTTACAATATAATATTACCAAACTTTATCAATTCTTAATAAAACTTTACACTGCTACACAGCAACCAGAATTAGTCACTGGTGTTAATATTTGTTTCGAATGCAAATGTTGAGAAAAGGTTTTGTTCAGAATCAATGGCCGAGACAGCATTTTAACGATTGAAATACAGAAAATTCACTACTAAATCACACACCTTAAATATCGTTATCACAAAATTGGAGATGATCAGACTTACTAAAAATTAAACAGCGTTCAGCTTCCAGTGACGACCACTACACATTCTAGCTGTATGTTTGGAAAAGTTATCACCAAAAAACAAACAAACTGAACAACACGCGTGTCTAGGAGTGTCAGAGCACTAAGTATATGTATAAACATTAGTCATATTATGTAATAATCTCTTGCATATTCTTGTTTTCATATAACAAAATTTTCAATGAAGAATATTAAACTTAGAAAAACACTTATTATATCTACTTTCATATAAACATTCCATGTCGAATTTCTGATCATTCTAGGTGATGTCTTTTGTATATTAAATGTAAAAAAGATTGACCTTTTATGGCATCCAAAACTTTCAACTCCTAGTTTAGTGCTAGCAGCTTTAAAGTGTTATTTCTGGGTAGCTTGTTACAGATTTAGAACATGATTTGACATGTTCTATTAGCTTCTGTTGCTAGTTTAGTGCTAGCAGCTTTAAAGTGTTATTTCTGGGTAGCTTGTTACAGATTTAGAACATGATTTGACATGTTCTATTAGCTTCTGTTGCTATTGGTTAGTGCTAGCAGCTTTAAAGTGTTATTTCTGGGTAGCTTGTTACAGATTTAGAACATGATTTGAGATGTTCTATTAGCTTCTGTTTCTATTGGAAAGTTTCTTAAAATTATGGAAGACAAAGACAATGAAACATAACAAAATAAAATTACTTGTTCTTGACAATAAATCAACATTAATGTATATACACATAAATATCTTGAACTTTGATACCATTCTCATAAAGTAAAATAAGTTATATGAAGAGTCAAATATTCAGAAACAGTGAAATGAAGAGGCAATAGTGGACAAGAGTAACAGGTGTAAATAGTAGATCAGTGCTTCCCACACCATGTTACAGAATGTTTGCAATTATTAAGTAATTTTTATTTAGTAATGTAAATTTACCATCAATTTTAATAATTTTTTTAAAATTTGATTCACTTTCTCCTTGATACAAAGTATAACAGTAATTTCTGTCTGTCTTAGTCAGTGGGGTGCCACTAGGCCTGCCATACAGACTTATTTACATGTGCCTGAAGTTGAAAAAGTGTGGGAAGTACCGTAGTAGATTATAAATGAAGTAATTTCATATATCAAAATATATTAATATTCAAAGAAAAAATTAGAACTCTTGATGGATAAGAAAGAAGACTGGTGTGAAGTGCAGAAACAATAATTAAAAACACAGAAAAGATCAAAGAACAAATAAAGAAATACCCAAAATCAAATGTTAATCAATAAAAGTTACATACTGAGACTTAATAAAATATATAAAATAAAAGAAATGAGAAAAATATCAAAGAAACAAAAACTAATTAAATAATTCAAGTGATCAATAATACTCAACAGAGAATCTTCACAAGGCTAACAATTTCTAGGGTATATTTTCCAGGTCAGAAATTGTCTTTAAATTATATACTATTTCTAATATAACACAAAATGTTTTTTAACTGTAAAAAAGAAAAGTTTCTTTACATGTATAAAACACAAAATCACCAATGAGGAAAGTAAAACAAAACTGGAAGCTCTTTAGAATCGATTAAAGTAACTTTTACATATTTCCAGTGCCAATAATATTATTTTGAAATACACTAAAAAATATAATTGTTACCTTCCATAAACAGGTTTGGAACAATTACAAAACAGAACCTTCTAAATTACTGTTTAAAAAAAGAGTAAGTGTTTGACTTGTCATACTAAAATATCAGTTATTTACCTATTGCTATTTGACTAAAGATTCTATAACATATAATACCAAAAACACATCTTTACTTACAGACATTTCATAATTGATTCAAATTCTACCATAAAGTTACTTCGCAATATTCTAGCTACAAAAAACATTAGCTATTGAGCAAGTAGTATTGTTATAATAATGAGAAGTTTAGAAAGAACAGATTTAAATGGTAACAATATAAGTGAATGTACGATAAAACATGCAACACACATGTTTACTAACATTATTAAGAAAGGCTTAAATATAAGTATAAACACTACAAATCTGGAATTGATTAAATGGAGAAGTTGGTGTTATTATTTAATGTTGGGTGATCATTGAAAATGGAGAAGCTTTCTTTAATAAATATTTCGTAATCTGTGGTTCCAGAGTCAAGAAGTTTGGGGGTGGTTGTTATTCTCACTGTGTAATTGGATACAATTCCAAAACATCCATAGTTAAATTTTTTTTTTTTGTATTACTGTATTTTTAACATTTACTGTAAAACTTATTTTCCATCTGATGAATCAGTTGTTAGTATCTGACACAGTGGTATGAATATGATGGGTTATGTTTGTTTCGTACTTTTCAAAAGCTTGATCTCAAACTTAGGAAGGTCTCTATTGATATTCAATTCATAATTATGTAAAATCTACAAAGTTATTTCAAAGTTCCTGAACTCTAAGACGACTAACCGAAATCTCCAAGGCTCTTCTGCTTATCGTTGCTGTTAAAGAAAGCTACTTGAAGAAGAGTTCAACAAAATATCATTGGAAACAACAGCTAACAAACCAACAAATTACAGCCAGCCTAAAACTTAAGAAGAAAATTTCATGAGTCGATGACTATCATCATCTGACCAATACGATTGAAAATCTGACCCCGAAAACTGTCGCCAGACTTCAACATGACCAGAAAATCAAGCTTAACAAACTAATTTCGTTGAGAAAAACTAGTGAAATAAATCCTGATAATGTTTTTAATATTAGTGAACGATGTGAAAATGCTTTATCAAAAGGTTTAGATATTTGTTTACCTATCTCAAATTACTGTTTTATGTTTGAATATATCTACAGAAGTCTTAAATCCCTTCTTAGCTTCAACAAAGATAACACACCAAATATAGAATGCTTCACCAAAATTAAATTTAAAATGTGGCATTGTTCTCCTTCTACAACTTCAACCACTTAAAAAACCTTCTCCTGAAGTATTTAATAAACAAATACTAAAGGATTTCAAGAAATATTATTTTTCTATACAAGATATAAAACAAAGTATATAAAGACTGAAAAAATATGTAACTCTGACTACACAATAGAAATTCAAGATAAGCACAGCAGAGAAAAGGAAGTTATAAAAAAAAAACACGGACAATGACAAGCAAACTACAAAAGCAACACGCTTATCCTACCATCTTCCTATTTACACCCCGGGCTCGTACCTTCTTAAAATAAGTAAATCAACGACAGTTCAAATACGCTTTACAACCCTCGCTAGTAAGTACTAACACAAATAAAAAGCAGAAATAACCTCTATACAAAATTCACCAAAATCGCAGGAAATACCAGCCTCATGGAACAAATTTATTTCTTCCTTCAACTACATCACTTCTCTAAGCAAAGAACACTCACTTCAACAACCACCTTGAACACTTTACCTTGTTCTTCAGGTTACCAACTGGAACGAACAATGGACTATAAACGTTTTTGTATTATTGTATGTGTGTGACATAAAAGTGTTATGTATAACATGTTTAAATTGTTAACATTTTTTAGCCATACGTATTCTATTGAACAACGTCTACTGCTATACGAGTTCTTATATGTTAATGGTATTGGTTATCTGTTTTGGATAATTGTTATACAAGTAATAAGCTACGGTACTGGTCTTATTTCATTTCTGGGGCAGCTGTCAGCTGCTCGTGATTCATTGATCACATACATCAGGCCTGAAGCTTCACTTCCATCTCATTCATCTACAACAAGAAAGCAATAAGCTCTTCCTGTCTTCTTCACAGCCTTTCCTCTCTCTTGACCATGAAAAATCAACTAAGCATCATCAAAACTTCGTGGAAGCAATGGATTTTATCACTGCTACAATTATTAACAGATTAATTGTGGATGACGGATATTTCCATCATTGAAGTTCTATGTCTCAGCAGCAAATGATGGAAATACGCATTTTATTGTGATTGCTGGCAACTCAGATTTATCTGTGAGTCAGGGTATCAGATCGGCACTCCTACCTCCAAGCAATCAATGCTCAAAATCTATTTAGTCGGAGAGGGTCATTTCAAATTTTTTCTCCTCCCTTGAAATGGCAAAGCGGGTTATTGTTGATGAAGAGCTTTGCCAATACCTTTGTGAAAGCGACGAATAAAGTTTAGATTTATCCTCTGATAGTGAAGAAGAATTGACTAATGAAGTCACAATTGATGATTTATCCGATAATGAACAAACAAATGTATCAAGTACTTCGCAAGTAGAGTGGTCACTCATCGGAAGCAAAAGAAATTTTTTTACTTTTAGTACAGATTTGGGTGTCAAAATATAGGAAACCAATCCTGATAATGTTTTGGAGATTTTTGAATCTATTCAAAATGCTGAAATAATATCGAAAATCGTCTCGGAAACTAATGTGTATCTTAATGAAATTTGCAAACAGAATTTCATCTCATAATTATTGAAGAAGAAAAGTAGACTACAAAACTGGAAAGATAAAAACATCATTGAAATGCATGTACTCGATGCAATGTTGTTATTGATGGGAATAATCAAAAAGCCTGATTTTCAGATGTATTTTTCAGAGGATCTTGTGTTGGCAACACCTTTTTTTGGAGAAACAATGCCGAGAGATAGATTTCTCCTTCTCCTGCAACACTTGCACTTCTCTGCTTCTAAAGACTCTTCAGATAAATTATATAAGATTAAAGATCTTCTAAACTTATAGAAGGAGTCTTTTCAGAGTGCATGTTTCCTTGAAATGAATATATGCATAGATGAGAGCTTACTTCTATGAAAGGGTAGATTAGGATGGAAGATGTACATCCCACTAAAGCGTGCTTGATTTGGAATTGAGGGCTACTTTCTTTGTGAATCAAGCACAGGATATGTGTATAACTTCGAAGTTTACACTGGAAAGGGAACAGATCTTCAAATGCCTCCTTGTGCTACTGAAATTGCACCTGAATACCTAAATCATTCAACGAAGGTCGTCCTGCATCTAACGACAAACTTTTTGGATAAGGGCTTTTATCTTGCAATGAATAACTATTACCCTTCGCTACCTCTTTTCGATTTTTTAGTTCCCACATGACAGATGCAATTGGAACTTTGAGAAAAAATTGAAAAGGAATTCCAAAGGAAATTTCAAAAGCAAAGCTAAAAAAGGGACAAGATATTACCATGTATAAAGGTAAACTTATGGTCATACAATGGAGAGACAAGAGAGAGGTGATGATGATAAGCAATACCCATGATGCTGAAAGAAAGACTGTAAACGAAGGTAACTTGTAAAAGAGCAAGCCTCTTGTGTGTATCGATTACAAGAAGGTGATGGGAGGCGTGGATCACATGGATCAAGTGATTTCATGCTCTGATG